TGGAAGCATTATAGGTTATGTTTCTGGGGGAATATGGATCTTGTTTTAAATAATTATACCACAGGATTCATCATGTATTTGTGATCTCTATATAGTATTCTCTTTAAAAAAAAACAGCACTATTTGTGGTGCCTGACCACTCTTATGAAATTAAAATTATGCTAGAGATAAGTTATAGATGTCAATTAGCAGATTTTATTGCCATAATCATGGATAACCTCACCACAAGCCAACCAGAGAGTTCCACTTGCATCTGAATTTTTAAAATCATTTGAAACTCCCTATTAACAAGTGCGTATTTGTACTCATTATGAGACTTCTTAGTATATGATGCTAATTACTTTCCTGCACTCTGGTTCCCAAACCACAATGAATCCTATTATAAAAGCAAATCACTGCAAACTTCAAACAACATGCCTCCTTGAGACGCCACTATTAAAGGAAGAACAGTGATGGGAAGTCTTTGATGTTATCAGATGTGATGGGAAATGCACATTTGTGTTTGAGTAAGTCCTGGAGATTGAAGCATTTCCTCCCCACCTTTAAATAACCTAAAACCAATTTCAAGTTCCCAAATGCTCTTCAAAGCAGCCCGCCTTGGAAGTAATGCTGATGGCATTTCAAATTTCAAGGCAGCTTGTTTTTTCTGTCTCAAGACTTCAAGCAGATTTGCAATTTTACTTTCCATGAGAAAGGATATTACCTGCTTTTACCCACACCACTAGCTTCTGGTTTGATGAGCGAAATGGGATAGGGAGTGAATGTACCCGTGGTAATGAAAAGGTGGTATATGACCAAGTAGCTCAGAGTTTGAATAATGCAGCAGGTTCTCAGGGATTCTAAGCTGTGTTTAATTACTTTGTGTTCAGTTCTTTCTTGTTCTTGTGTTGTTGACCGAAATTTGGAAGTAATCTTTGAGCATGTGGTAGGACAACTGTATGCAACTGCAATCCATCCCCTTCTGAATGGGGTGTCTGTGAGGCTGAGGACAAAAATCGGTGTGTGCTTGACTCCAGCAACCTACAGGGAGCCTGGGCCACACAATTTAGAACATTCAGACTATGAATAATTCCTGTACAGGAGGGTGGGTCTGTGGCTTCTAAAAGGCTTCAGATCCGTGGTCAGTAGAATGTACTTGAACTAAAAGGTTACAGTGGCCCTAGTGACGTTCCCCTAGCATTTAATTAGGTTTCCTGTAATTGCTTTAAGTAAAAGGGGTGAGGGGAATGAAACCTAAAGTTATCATCTTGGGGCAGAAAATATTTGTATGTGGTTTTATATCCTGAGCCCATTTGTGGCTGCTCTGCATTTTGGAAAGAGCCATATAGGGCTAAGGAAATACAGACAGCAAGTTTATCAGCCCTTTGGTGACTGTAAATTACTGCAGCAACTTTACAGGAAGAGCTCTGTTTCCAGTAAGTGAATTTCTGCACCAAGAGAGAAGGTATAAACAAGTAAAACAGGCAAAAGCATTCAACACCAGAAAGAGGAATTTTTAAAAAGGTGGGGGAAGGGATGGAAAAGCGGTGATCCATCTTTGCATGGATTTATAGATGTCGGGAAATGACAATAATTACAATATGATAGGAAATGAGGGGCTTAGGCAGGGGTCAGGAAAGTGGAAGGAAAGTAGTATTAGCTACTAAATTGGAATTTTTGCTGTGGAGGATATTTTATTAGTTGGGTATTGGCTAAAATATATACTAATCTCTTCATAGAGGAGTGAGGGATTGGAATATTCCAGTTACTTGAAAAAGAATTTTAAGCTGATCATTATATAAATACTAGAAGGCCTGTGCACAAAAATTTGTGCACTCAGGAGTAGGGGGTCCCTCAGCCCGGCCTGTGCCCTCTCGCAGTCTGTGACCCCTCAGGGGTGACCACTTGCTGGCTTCGACCTGCTCCCTGGGGGATTGGGCCTAAGATGGCAATCAGACATCCCTCTGGCAGCCCAGCAGCCCTTGGGGATGTCCATTTGTCAGCGGGGAGCAGACCTAAGCTGCAGTCAGACATCCTTAGCGCTGCTGAGGAGGCAGGAAAGGCTCCCACCACCACCGCTGTACTGGCAGCCATCAGCCTGGCTTGTGGCTGAGCAGAGCTCCCACCTTGTGAGAGCACACTGACCACCAGGGGGCAGCTCCTGTGTTGAGCATCTGCCCCCGGTAGTTAGTGCGCATCATAGTGACTGGTGGTTCCGCTGTAACGGTCACTTAGGCTTTTCTTATATAGATATTGTAGTGCACACTTGTCCAGCACCCATTCACCTTCTATTGGATTTGATTCATTCTAGAGGCAAGCCTTTCAATGAGTGTCCACCAGTTTCTATCACTAGAACCTCAGAGGTATCCTTCTCTCTATTTGACACCTGTGAACTACCTAATGTCCTTCCAATAAATTCCCAAGTTCTTTTCCCTATTTAATGTAGATTGAGTCAGTTAGTGTTACTTTCAAAGACCTGTAATACAAAACTAGTTCCAAAGGGTAGGTTGCAGGCAACTGCCCCTCAGAAAAATGTAAGTCATGAATCAACTGGGCCATGGCAGGTGGGGAACCTTGGCTTCCTCCATCACTGGAGCAAGCAAGCCTCCTGCTTGCTTCAGCTTCATGGCTGCTGGCCGCCATCTTTGTTGGCAGTTAATTTGCATATCCTGCTGATTAGCCAATGGGAAGCATAGTGGAGGTATGGTTAATTACCATGTTTGTCTTTTATTAGATAGGATAAGAGAATTACTAACTTTCAAAATAATGTTAAGTATGCTCAGTAAGTCTAGATAATATAGACTTGACCCTCACGGTCTTTCCCTGACTGAAGGTTGTAAATCCCACTTTCCTGGGCTTCATCCCAGTTCAGAGACTCTTGAATGAACCTAAGGGCTTAGTCATTTCTGTGACTCAAAGTCCCATCAGCTTTTGTTGGAAATATTGTTTATTCCCCAGTGGGTCAGCAACTACTTTTATTGGGTAATTGTTAGTTTCCCTGAGTACTGTTATCCTTGGTTTTTAGGGTAAATTCTGGGATACTTTTTAAAAAAATCTCTAGATGACACCCTTTTCATGTCACCTGTACCAAAAAGGCATAATCAAACATTTTAAGAAATCATAACTTTGAGAAACTAATTAAACTCCAAAGAACCAGTTAAACTATATGTAACACTTATCACATACATCACATACGTATTTTTAAAAATTATCATCTGATTATATCATCCACTTGCTTAAAGCAATTTAATAATGTCCATAGATCTCAGGAAGAAATTAAAAATCCTAACCATGCTATATGACAGTGGTTCTCAAACTATAGCGTGCATCAGAGTTCTTAGAGATTTTATTAAAATGCAGATTGCTGGGCCTGATTCTCAAGGTTATTGATTCTGAGTCTGAAGTGGGGCCCAAGAATTCACATTTCCAACAAATTCCAGGTGATGTTAGCACAGCTGTACTGGGGTCCACATTGAGAACCACTAGTCTACAAGACTGTAAAAACTGGTCCCCTTCTCATCTCTAGTTGCATCCATGCCATTATTTTCTGTGTCTGGGGCTTGTCTTCTCCTGGAACCTCAATCTTCCCATTCTCTTTCCTGCTTCTTTCCGTATGCCTTGTCCCTCTCCCCATATAATTTAACAAACATCATTCATTTGGGTCTTTTATTCTCCTTGTTATTCATTCTGTGTCCCTATATATCTCCTTTGCAGCACTGAACACAATTATGATTAAATAATAAATTGTACAATCTGTAGTTAATATGTTCCTTCCTCACAATAATATCAGTTCAATGAGGAAAATCACCATCTTCCTCATCATTTCCCAATAGTCTAGGGCAGTGTCTTTTATATAATGGATACATAATAAATATTTGTTCAATGAATTAATGAATGAATGAATGAATGAGTCAAAGGTAGAAAGTAATATGTTTAAACTTTCTTCCTGTGCTCATACTTGACACAGAGCAAATTCTTCTACTCCCCAAGGGTGCCCTGCTAGTTCTCTCAATAGACACTCCATCTGGAAAGTGCAAGTTCAGTCTCTAGGAGAACTGACAGTCACGCACATATATCTTGTAGATCTCTGTTGTTGCTCAGTGCAAAGATGCAAACTGCAGAATGAATCTCTGAAATAGGCTTTGAATCCTCAAGATAAACACCCCTAAAATGATAATCCCAGATTCTCAGTTAAATTTATGTTATTTAGGATTACGTAATTCTGTGAAACAAATTCTAAGTATTTGAGCATTTTAGCTAGAGACCACTTTATCTTTGACAGGATTTTGGTTACATCACAATTATAGAGAAACATTTGTGCTATTAAAATATTATGCCTGAAGACCTTAAAGTCATACATTCTTTGGATAGAAAAGTAGAGGTTTGTTACCTGGGGCTACTATATCTTTCCAGAAAACGTGTGCCTAATAACTGAAACACATCTGCTAACATAATTTAATCGTTAAATAATCACCACATATTTATAAATTACTTGTTGATATGATAAGACCTGATATGTAGATATACATATTTCTAGCTTATGCACTTATGATTATAGTTTTAGGTGGTTCTCATTTCATGTGAACTAAATCTTCTTAAGAAGATTTAGATCTGTAATTCTCTGTACAGCATGTGGGTCTCTTACCCACAGCCTATGTAATTGAGATAGAATCCTTAGAAGCTGTGAAATTCAAGTTCACATTTAAATATACAGGAGGAGATAACTTGGTAGAGGATGACTATTAGGCCATATGAGGAAAAGTGTAATTTTGTGGAATAATAGATCTTCACTTTCATCTTCTGATGAATCCAGAAGATTGGAAAAAGCAAGTAAGAGAATGAAAAAGTTGTGAGTCAAGTTACTGGAGCCAGAGGGAAATCAGAAGCGATGAGAGGCAGTATCTGGGATGTTGACCTACGGCATCAAGAAGGATCACGGAGTGGGAAAAAGCATGGTATGATGTTTTGTATTTCTTTAGTACAAGTCTTCTCCAGACTTAATTCTTCCTTTCTCTGGTTAGGTCTCATTGTCCGGGAAGTGAGCATTGAGATTTCGCGCCAACAAGTGGAAGAACTCTTTGGGCCTGATGATTACTGGTGCCAGTGTGTGGCCTGGAGCTCAGCGGGCACCACCAAGAGCCGGAAGGCCTATGTGCGCATCGCATGTGAGTCATTGCACACAACCCTCTGGGTTTCGGGAGTCGGTGGAATATGGGAAAATTTAGAGTGCGACCGCTCTAGCAGCAAAGAAACCTGGTCAAAAATGGCTCTCAGATTTCTGCATTTGAGCTATATTTTTCCCTTAAGTCAGCAGAATATTATCATTGTTTGTTTGTTTGTTTCAAGTCACTGGGTAGTTTTCCTTTTGGAGCATGAAAAAAAGAATAGTGCTACTTCCAAAAGATTCTGATATTTTGAAAATCTGGTAATAATTAGGTTATGGGAAAACCAACTATATTCCTTTAATGAGCTTATGCTGCCAATTTAAGACAATGCTGACTAGATTTGCTCTTGGGAACAAAGATTACCCAGACAAAGCTTCTCTGTTTATTTTGGAAACATTCTACTGCATCAAAATTACCACTATTCTCCACGCTGTGTTAATTTCTAGAGTACTCATGTTCAGGGAGAGCTTCAGCAGTGCCTCACAAAAAGCATTGTCTAATCAAATCAATGTTGAAAATACCCCCTTCTTTTTGGCCAGAGTTATAGAAGTTTCTTCACTGCAGAACTTCCCAGATTCTTTAATATGCTGATGTTTAATATGCTAAGTTGATGTACTAGTATGGTATTATCATCCCCAAAAGGAGATATAGCCTGCAGCTCTTTCTGCAGACTCCTTTTTTCAATGACTACTATCCACATCCTGAGCAGCATGAATGCTGCTATCATCTGTTTTAAGGTTCCGTTCTGAGAAATTTTCTCAAGTATGAAACCAGAACTTACAATCCATGCAAGTTTTATCCTCCGAACCCCTTTGCGGGTCTGCATTTTTCCAAATCCCTTTTTGTGGCAGGTGTCAATATCACTTATCTCTATGGTGTCACTAAGTTTCCAACAGTCCTGGCTCCGGTCCTTCCCCAATTCCATACTTTCCTCTTCCTTCCTTTCACCATGAGGTAGACCACAACCATTGTAAATATTTCCCAGTTAGTGTTTGGGCCTCAAGCCTTTGCCCTCCTCCAACCTTCTTCCATATTGCCACACATGCAATCTTCCTAAGACTCAGGCCTCATCGCATCTCTCCCTGCTTAAAATTTACAGGGGCCCCTGGGAAGAGTCAAAATTCCTTACAATGGCATATAGCATTATGTTAGTGTTTTAGGGCTGCCAAAACAAACACCACAGCAGTGGTTCTCAACCTTCCTAATGCCGCGGCCCTTTAATATAGTTCCTCATGTTGTGGTGACCACCAACCATAAAATTATTTTTGTTGCTACTTCATAACTGTAATTTTGCTACTGTTATGAATCATAATGTAAACATCTGATATGCAAAATGTATTTTCATTGTTACAAATTGAACATAATTAAAGCATAGTGATTAATCACAAAAACAATATGTAATTATATATGTGTTTTCCGATGGTCTTAGGTGACCCTTGTGAAAGGGTCGTTGGACCCCCAAAGGGGTCGCGACCCACAGGTTGAGAACCGCTGCACCACATAGTGTGTAGATTAAAAAAACAGACAAGTCTTTTCTCGCTGTTCTGGAAGCTAGAAGTCTGAGCTCATGATGCCAACAGTAATGATTTCTTGTGAAGCCTCTGTCCTCGGCTTGTAGATAGTCCTCTTTCCTCTGTAAAAGTCCAGGTCCAGCTTTCTCTTCTTAATATGATTATTAGTCATTTCACCCAGCTGGTATTGCTCAATGGTCAAGCATCAACCCAAGAACCAAGAGGTCACACTTCGATCCCTGGCAAGGCCACATGCCTGGGTTTCTGGCTCCATCCCCAGTGGGAGCGTGCAGGAGGCAGCTAATCAATGACATTTCCTCTCTCATCGATGTTTCTATCCTTCCTCTCTCTCTAAAAATCAAAAATAAAAACAGTAAAAAAACTATTAGTCATTTTGAATTAGGGCCACACTAAGGCCTCATTTTAACTAAATTACCTCTTATAAGGCCTTTATCCAAATAAAGTCATATTCTGAGGTACTGGGGATTAGGACTTAAACACACAAATTTTGGGAGACACAACGCAGCCCATAACACCATATGCCATGGTTTATATATCCAGCCTATGTTTTCAACTCTGACCACAAAGAATTTCTTCGTATTAAGCATGCTACATTAGAAATACTTTGATTTCTAGCTTTCCAGCAATTGATCATACTGAAGATATCACCCTTCTCTTACTTCCTTCATTATTTGTAAAAAGTCAATTATTTAACAAATATTTAGCAAACATGTTGTCTGTTCTTGGACCAATTGTAGGTATTTGATATGGTATGAACCATCCCGCCCCACGCCCCCCCCCCCCAAAAAAAAAAAAAGTGATGATCCCTGCCCTCATGGAGCTTGTGTTCTGGTGAGGAGGGGAAAAATCTAATCAGTAATAATCAGGTACAAACAAGTGGTAAGTTCTATGAACAAAGCAAGAAATAGTACTAAGCAGTGCTGCGGGGTGGTGTTCAAGGAAGGCCTCAGGAAGAAGGTGGCAATTGAAGGAACCCAAAAGAGGAGCGGGAGGGAGTCTGGCAGAGGGAACAGCAAGTTGGAAAAGTATGGATGGATATCCCGAGGCAGAAGGCAGGCCAGTGCCAAGAAAACCACTTTGGCCATAGTGGCTGGAAGAGACTGAATGAGAGGAGATTCCTGCATGAGCAGAGAAAAGTAAGGCATGGAGACATACGTAATACTTTCAACAATAAAGATTTAAAAAGTAATAATAATTAGCCCTAGCCAGTTTTCTCAGTGGATAGAGCGTCAGCCTGCAGACTGCAGGGTCCCTGGTTGGATATCATGATTACAGGCTTGATTCCTGGCCCTGGTCAGGGCACATGCAGGTTGATGTGTCTCTCTCACATCAATGTTTCTCTCTCTGCCTCTCCCCCTCCCTTCCCCTCTAAAGATTAATGGAAAGATATGCTCAGGTGAGGATTAACTGAAAAAGTTAAAATTAAAATAAAAAATAATAATGAGGCAAAATTAATTTTGAAAATATATTATTTAGTTATTTAACTGATATAAACAAGTAATAAACACATTTTTCCCATACCAATCCTTGAGATCTGGTGTGCTTACACCAACAGTACTTCTCAATTAAACGTAGCCAAGGTCAGTTGCTCAAGAGGCACATGTGCTTGGTACTGGGCAGATGAGTTCTAGAATAATGATCATTATGGAGGCGCTGTTCCAATTAACTTTATTTTTTTCACCTCAGGCACCTTTTTCTTTTATGGTGAGAATACTTAAGATCTACTGTCTTAGAACATTTCAAGTATACAATATGGTATTATTAACTATAGTCACCTGCTGTATATTACATTGCCAGAATTTACTCATCATATAATTGAAAGTTTGTAACCTTTGACCAACGTTTACATGGATTATCTCATTCCATCCTTGGGACAACTCTATGTGATAGATCTTATTATCATCATGCTACAGATGAGTAAATTGAGAACCAACAGAGATTACAAATCTTGCCTGAGGCATGGAGCTTGGAATAGAGGACAGATCTCTGAGGGGAGGGGGTTGCGATCACCTCTACAGAGGTGTAGACCTTGACCATTTTACCTAAAACCTACAGACCTTAGCTCTGTCATTCTCCTAACCCCAAGCCTGCTTTTTTTTTCCTTGAGGAAATTTCTCTTAATCATTATTTTTTTTCTTTTTATGTTGACTGTGTGAATCACTGTAATATAAGCTTCACAAGGACAGGCACTTTATTTTTTTTCATTTTATCCCTGTGAAAATTAAGAAACAGAAATCTCATTTAAAATGCATTCAGGAGGCAGGAAAACTCTCAGGTATGGGCACCCAACTGACCCCAACAGGAAGTGACTTGCTGCCAGAGACCAATTCCAGCAGGACAGCAGGGCTGCATCTGGGAATGGCTGAAGGCATTTCCCCATACCTGAAAAGGGATTATTGCTTGGCTGCCAGACAGCTAAAAGGCATCTTAATCTTCATGTTATTGCCTCCTACTGGCCAAACACCTGAACAGCCTTAAGCTAATTCCCCCATTCTGACAATGGACTCTGTAGGAAACGCTGACCCTTTGAAGTGTATATCTCTCCCTCCCCTCAGGACAAATTGTGTTAATAAAAAGCATGGGGTCCTGGGACGAGGAGACCTGAGAATTTAGATCTTGGATCTTAGCTCCTTTAACTAAGCTCCTCTGACCCCCAAATGCCTTTCAAAATTATACTTCGTCTCTGGACTCTTATTTAAAATCTATACACAGCCTTCTCCAGATTCCTGAACCCTTCTTGATGCTGGGACAAGAACCCTGGCAACCTGCCTTGAATGTTGGATAAGAAGTGATACTACTTTACCATCTCAGCAGGAGGAAGAAAATTCCTCTTTGCCCATAACAGTTCAGCCAATGGGAGAATGCTATAACTCAGCCAATGAAAAGTCACTATACTTAATCCATTTCCTCCAATGGACTCTTTATCTACAATAGACCCTCCCAATCTGTAAAAGAGCATACCTCTCCTTTGTTTCTCTGAATTGGCCATTAGACTGCATGTCCTGAATTGCAAGTGTTTGGTCTCAAAAAAGCTGTTTTGATGCAGAAATATCTGGGTGTCTATTTGGTAAGGGTTAACATCCCCAATACCTAAACATAGTTCCTTGCATGTAGATAGCACTAAGTAAATGAAGACGTATAAAACTGAAATTAAATTGAAAACATATGATAGGGCAAAGTGATGATGCTATTGATTGCTAATCATTTGTTCTTTGTATTGCCCAAGGAATTTAATGCATTTATTACCCAAGGAATTAAGGACATCAGATAGCCTGAAGGGATTGCCTCTGTGCCCCCTCCCCACGCCCACCCCCGTCACACACACACACACACACACACACACACGCACGCACACATGCACACACAGAGGCATGCGAACTGCACTCTGTTTACCCAGTGAAGAGTGCAGCACCTGCGCGAACATCTGTCCCTATTCACTTCGAAGCAGCACAAATGCTAATTGTGGAG